ACACGGACACACAGACAACCTCTCGTCAATATGCGTTTTTTGTATTGCATTGCTGCAAAAAACGCATAACAAACGGGCATACCCTTACAGCAGCAGTAAATGAATAGTTGAATAAAAGGATTGGACTCAGGTGTTATGTATAAGAAGACATTTTACGATACAGTCTATGTTTCATCCCTTAGCTGTAAACAAAGACCGAATTATGCGTGTGGGTAGGAGCGGGAATCATCAGCGCAGCCTCCTACCCGCCATATACTGAACAGCCATGTAACTAATTTGCAAGGCAGATATGTGAAAGAATGAGAGAACAGATAAAGACCAAACAGAGCAAGAGAGGAGTGTAAGAAAAGAGAGTCAAATCTAGTTACGGGAAACTATTTCAAGGAAATGCTTTTCACGAGAATAGCGTGCTGATTAGCATGCAAGGAAAGAGTAAAGCACTTGCAAAACAACTAATTCATAAAACATTTCAGCGAAGCAACTTTTCTAACCGAGCATGTCGCAGCTGATAGCAGTCCGTAGGCCAGTAGTAAGGCAAGCTGTTCCGCAGATGAGGACGCGTCTCCCATTGGGTAGAGTTTTTCAAATCCACGAAATCCTGAAAAAAAAAAAGACGTACTGTACTTTTACAACCTGCTTCATGAACAGTTTAAAACTGTTCAAATTCACCAAGGCAGCGAGCCGCTCGAGCTTACTTTTCGGGAAACTGGAGACGCGCAGTGCCTTCGTCCAAATTGCCAGTAGCGCATGAAATGCATAATTCTGCAAAATCGACACGTTGGAAAGATTTTTAAAGCACTCTAAGTGTGCCTTATCCTGAAATTCTGGGATAAATCGAGTAAGACGAAGTACTCATCATCATTATTGGCATTCGATTTACCGTCTCGATGTTCCGCGTAGCAAACAGGCGATCGTTGACGCAGTGGCGGCTGAGCGAGCCCGTCTGAACGATGAAGAACTTGAACTCGACCGCGATGTTGTTCAGCGCCTCCTCGTCGCCCTCCAAATCGTTGTTCTGAAATTGAACAAACTGCACCAGGAAGGTGTCTCCCCACAGCCAGCAACTGGATGAAAACGCAGCGAACCTGTGCAAACGCAGTGATATAGCTCAGCGAACGATCCAAATCAACCATCGCCGGCAGCGATCCACTCGACGCAATCTGACGGTACAGGAACCGAAGTCGACGAAACACTGCTCTTGTGCCTTCAGTGGTGCTCAGCTAAAACAATCACTGCAAACGGGCACTGGCGCACAATGGCTGACAGAAAGATACACCGAAAACTGCCACGGGCGGT